CTTCGGTGGGGCGAGCATCTATGAAGCCGGTGAGAGGGAAAACGACGACGATGAAGACGACGAGAGAGGATGACGTGGGGAAAACTAGAAACCAGGATGATGACGATGAAATGCTAAAGAACGTGGAGGAACAAGACGGGCTGCAGGAATAAGGAAGAAGAGACATAGAGGCGACGGCTGAACACATTATACAGCAAGAAATGACCAGCGGCAGCGAGAGACTTCCGTATAACAGATACCTCATCTGGCATACGCGGCGTTCGTGATGAACAGAGCGAAGTTCCGAAGGATGAAGATAAAGATGATAATGCTGAGGATGATGACAGTGATGATGGACGATGACGATGCTGCTGATGATGATGCTGATGATGCTGATGCTGATGATGGCGCTGCTGCTGATGACCATGATGGTGAAGAGGAGGAGGAGGAGGAGGAGGAGGAGGAGGAGGAGGAGGAGGAGGAGGGGAAGAGCGCACGATCTTAAACTGTCTCACACGGTCCGGCCGCAGACTGCAAGCTATCATCCCACCTCGCTGCGAAACAGACGCGGCCGCAGCAAACGGCGGACGGAACGTGAGGGCAAGCGGGAGACAGGCCTCCGCGGCAGGATGGCGCACCAGATGTCTGATTGTCGCCCCACCCCATCAACATCACAGTGAAGCAAACGCTGTGTGCTCTAGATGGTGATGATGATGATGATGCTGATGATGAGGATGAGGATGAGGATGAGGATGTTGATGTTGATGTTGATGTTGATGATGATGATGATGATGATGATGATGATGATGATGATGATGATGATGATGATGATGATGATGATGATGATGATGCTGACGGCACGCCCTTAAAGACGGGCCCCCGAGATCCGCATGACTCAGAAGCGCCACCACCAGCCGAGAGTGATGAAGAGAAGAAGAATAAGAAGAAGAATAACAAAATAATAATAAGAAGAAGAGAGGGAGGACGAGAAGAAGAGTGAGGACGTGACTCAGTGTGCTCTAGAGTGAGGAAGGGGAGAAGAACGGAGGGAGGACGCGAGAGCAGGGAGGGGGACAACGGAACGCACCTCCGTGGCACGACGCAAGCGCGTTCCTCGCCCCCCAGCTAGCTGCCCCGCTGGGCGGCACCCCCACCCGACGCCCCGCCCCGGGGCGCTTCGGCCACGCTGAGGCGGCCTCCGAGCCGCCCACCGAGCAAGAGCCCGCCTCGCAGGCGAGCGCGCCCAGAGCGGGCAGGAGCGGAGCGGCGAGGCAGGGCGCTGCTCCGCGACGGGCCCGGCCCCACCTCGCGGAGGCAGACGCGCCGCTCGGGAGCGCGCCGGCATGCGGGCCGCACGCCCGAGCGGGAGAGCGCGCAGGCTGCATGCTCGCCCCACGGGCCCGTCGAGGCCCGCCGGGGGGAGGTGGACACGCGCGGGCGGCGAGGACGAGGCATACCCCCGCCCGGGGGCACTCCGGGCACAGCGAGAGGCGAGAGCCGAGGGAGGAGCTCGGGGCAGCTGCCAGGCCAGAGTCCCTGAATGGGGCCCAGGGGCACAGAAATGAATGCGCGTGCGAATCCCAGGGTTCCCCCCTATTTCCCCATACTTTCTGGAGCTTCGTCGCCCCCCGCACTTCCCACATTTTCCCATATCTCCTGGGGGATCGACGATTCATTGTGTCTGTGTACTTCTTCCCCTCCCGAGTCCAAGGCCTTTCGGGGATCTTCAGACCCGGGTCAATCCAGACCCGGTTCAGTCAGGCCTTGCAGAATCCTGCAAGATTCTGCAAGATCCTGCGCCCAAGCCCGGGCCGATGCGAAGGATCCTACAGGATCATGCGCCCACCTGCGCCCAAGCCCCGGCCAATGCGACCCTGGCCCTGCAGGATCCTGCAAGATCGGGCGCTCTGGCTGACCCCCGTTTGCATTGCCCCCCGTCTCTTGAGCCCCGAGCCTTGCCCAAGTGAGCCCAAGTGGCCCAGCGAGGCGAGGCCGCGAGACAGCGCGTGGCGCGCGGGGAGCGCGCCTGGCGAGCCCGAGGCTCCGCGGAGCGTCTGCGCGGCGCTGGCCGAACGCGCCGCGCCGCGCCGCCTCCCAGGAAGGGTAGCTCACGCCAGGTGCGCTGGAGCCGCGCCAGCTCTCGGGGTGGGCCCAGCTCCACCCCGTCAGAGGAGCGAGACGACTCGATGTGCGGGGATGCCTCCTCCCTCCTCCTCCTCCTCCTCCGCCCTGCTCCTCCTCCTCCTCCTCTCCTCCTCCTCCTCCTCCTCCTCTCTCCTCCCCTCTCCTCCTCCCTCCCTCCCTCCCTCCCTCCCTCCCCCTCCCTCCCCTCCCTCCCTCCCTCCCTCCTCCTCCCTCCCTCCCTCTCCCTCCTCCCTCCCTCCCCCTCCTCCCTCCCTCCTCCCTCCTCCCTCCTCTCCTCCTCCCTCCTCCCTCCTCCTTCCTCCCTCCTCCCTCCTCCTCCTCCTCCTTCTCCGCCCGCCCCCTGCGGGCACTCCGTGCCCAGCAAAAAGAAGAGAGCGCGGGCGGCCGATAGCCTCCTCTACGGCATACGTTCGGCTAGGTTGCGGCGTGGATCAGCGCTGGCACAAATGCTGGTGTAAGTGCCCCCGTCGGTGTCGACGTAGGCGCCGGCAGCGCCGCTGGCGTTCGGATATCGTAACACCGTGAGCGGACTCGGAGACGTTTCTGGCTGGGGCAGGGTTGCCAGGTGAAGGGCACATTGGGTCTCTAAAGCAACGTCCCCCGCGGCAAGCTGTTCCTAGAAACCAAGGGGGGAGACGAGGGGCTGCCAGTGAGGAATCGTCTGGTCTCAGAAGCAACCTCGTCCAAGCGGGCTGCAAGCTGAGGACCAACAACATATGCAGCGCCCCGGAGATAACCTCCACCGAGAAGCACGGTAAGAGCTGCAGGGCCGTTCAGGACATCCTCGGACAAGACCCCTTCCACGAGGGACTGGTCGGTGTCCCTGGCGCCTGCCCGTGATCTCGGAGGCGGCGTCTTAGCCCACCGTCGCGCTCCCGTAGCCTAGGGCGTCCCAGGCGCGAAGCGGGCGGGCGCATGCGCGCCCAGCCGTCCGTCGAAAGCCCGCCACGGCGAATCCGTGCAGGGGGCCCGCGCGCCCCAGGTGGACCCAGCAGGGCCGTTCTGGAGAAACACGTCGAGGATGGCCGCCATGGCACTGGTGCTGGTGGCAGGGGATGCACTTGGGCCAAAAAGGCCGCCCTTCGCCTCCCCAGCAGGACCAGGGCCCCGGACTCCGGCCCAGGAGGGGTGAAGTGCGCCGCGACGAGGCGGGAACGGGGGCCCCGTGCCGGGAAAGGCACGAAGGGGGAGCTCGAACCTCCGCCCCACCGCGGCGGACCCCACCCCGAAAACCCCCCCCGAGCAGAAAAGGTGAGGGAGGGTTATAAAATGAGGGGGCCCTGGGACACACAAAGAAATACACACAAATACAAAGATTCCCCACATGTTCCCGTATTTTCTGGGCTTTTCTCTTCCCCCCATTTCCCATATTGTCCCATATTTTCTTGGGAATCGACGATTAATTGTGTCTGTGTGTTTGTTCCCCTCCTGATAAAAGGACCAGAAATCACAGGGCGGGGGGGTCCCATTGGTAGCCAGAGCCCGAGACCGGGTATGTCGGAGTCAGACACTGCACCATGACGGCGCCTCATCGGAATATCGGACCTTGCGACGCCCGTCCTGGAAGAACATGCGTGAAGTGGAGAGGTCTGTCCGAATACGGCAGGTCCGTGTCGTGCCGACTTCGGCGTTGGTTTCTGACACCGCGCTGGATCGTTCAACCTTGAACGATCGGCCGCTGCCGCAACGTCCGATCGTTCAACATCGACCGATTCTGGGTCGCCCGCGGCGTTCAACCTTGAACGCCCGCGCTGGGGTCGCCGCTGGTCGACACGACGCAAACCTACCGTACCTCGGTCTCCGGAGGAGATACAACAACTAGCCACCCAGTGGGGGCAGGGGAGGACCACGGTGTGCAGCAGGGTGTTCTGTACGACAATGGACGCATGGGGTCAGGTGAGGCCCCCGTGCCGTGGCTCCCGCGCGTTCGCTAGCGGCTCGCCCCCATAGCGGTAGGAGCCGAAACACCGCGGAGCCGCGCCAATAAGAAAGAGCATGAAGAGAGTACCAGCTGAAGTCCGAGACGAACAAACAACTCCTAGAAAGACAATCGCGTGAGCGCTGTACATGTCCCAAAACGTGGAGCAGACGTCAAAGAACCCAAGTGCAGTGAGACCATCGAATGTCCACCACAGGCAGACACCAACCGTCAAGCATACAGAGTAATCGCCCAACTGGAGAGGCATTTGCACTTGCTGGTGTGGCTCGTGGGAGGCCCGAGGCCCGACTTCTTTGGGCAGCACGCAGTCGCCGACCGAAGCAACTCCACCAGGAAAGCGAACACCACGTACACCAAATGATGAGTAGCCTTGCCCATCGAGGAAACGAAATCACTAATTATCAGGAAGATGAGTGGCGCCCACCCTTTGGTGGCTCACTGGTAACATATAATAACATATATGTACCACTTCTCCCTCACAATTTGATGTCTTCGGCTAAACGCCCAGACCCCAGGGCCAACTGCGGAAATAAACCTGAGACCTGCAAAATTGAGGGTCATAGTCGCTCACAGTCTGCATAGTCGTAGTCGGGCAGTCGTGAGCGATTCTCTCCGCGGACTTAGGCCAGACCCTCTGCGGAGGGAAGAACATGCCGATGATTGCGGCAGCAGCAAGACATCGAATCTTGGCACGCTCAAGACAGCTTCGCATGCACAACTGCAAGTACGCAAATGCGCACTGTGCGCCCACACCGTGCGCGCCCGCACCACGCATGCAAAGACACCCCGCGCCGCGCACTCCAACGAAACACGTGCCATGGTGAAGCCTAGCCCGGCCGACGCCAAACCTCCCCGCGACGTGCGTCTTCCATCGCCTGTCGGCCAGGAAAATTGTGCAAGGCCCCTCGTCATAAGGGGCGCAAGTCCCCCCGCCCCG